TGAAATAAATTTCTATATTTGTGCTAAAATGTTACGAGTCCAGACCGGTCTTTGAAACAAACGCTGGTAGCTTTTACACGTGTTGGGGGAAAACATAACCCCAGTAGCTTCTCTCTGGTTTCGTTTACAGTCAGTCTTTCATGCAATTACACTGAAGACTCCAAAAAACATGGTTTACATGCCAACAAGTATAAAAGTGAGCAGCATGCACCACAGGAATTCAAACCCTCAACTCATAAAGATGATTAATGGGCTGGTTTTAAATATCTCATAAATATTATTAATAGTTTAATACTTTCAATTACATAACTAATGTTTGTAAACACAGCAGAGAAACAAGCTTGTGTTTACAAACATTCGAGAGGAATAATTTATGCGTGCCTATACGGGAGTGGGCGGGGCTTTTATTCAAAACAAGAAGGGAAAGTACGGCAAGACTTTATTATATGCAACATAGTAAATAGTCATGAGTTACAGATTTTCTCTGTCACATCAGATGGATTTAACACAAGTCTGAATGTCACTGGTATCATGTCACCTGTATACACTCAAAATCTTCCTATAGAGACAGTTTAGTTAAAGCCGCCTTAATCACAGTGACCGGTCAGTCCTCACTGATCTACATAAAGCATTCGTGCATGCATTATGTCACACGTGCAAGGTTCAGTTTCAGATAACAGCTTCCTTAATTTGCTCAGCCGCGTTCAGGACGTGTGACAGATTTCAGATGCGTTTCTTGCACATTCAGAGTGACTACAAACAGAACACGCCTCAGCTGCCTGCAGGAATTCGGGCTTTATTTCGCTTCCCTCGTTTCACTTGTCCGTGCGGCTGCTCGTGCTGGATTCATATTCAGCAGGAAGAATGGTGACCGGCTGGCATGCACAAAGGAAAGTCCTCGGGCTGGATCAGGGTGAAGCCGGAATATTTTCTCTCTTTATCACGCTTCAACTCTTGGAGTGCATCTTTAGCTTTCATGTGTATAAGAAAACTCTCTACTCAAAGCACGATACAGACATGTGACATGCCATGGATGAAGACAGTAATGTTTTTACCCCATGACTCATCAAATTATCGTTATCCAGTTGTACTTATTGTAGCTTATCCTCCTCAAAAAGTATCCCAGTGTTCCTCAGACTGTTACTGGAGGCCGAGGTGATCCTATCCGGAGTGAGTTTCTGGTTATACACCGTGTTTCTGACGTGTTCAAGGCCAAATGTTTTAGATTTTGTTCTAAATTTAGGAGAAAATGCAACTTTGTGAAGTGTGAAAAACTCTTTACAAGACGCAGTTTGTCAGATTTCTTGAAATCCTTCATGTTCGTAATGAAACATCTGAAACAAACTGAGTGGATGTGTGAACTCAAGCACACTCTGCATGTACGTGCACTGTGTGGAGCTTTCTTTTTCTTTGTGCTGAGTGATCTGTGCAGATTTCACCTTCACTGTTGAACCTGACCTGGAGGTCTCCTTAAGACTCACCACCCTGCTGCTGCATTTCTCACTGTGGGCTTTGCTGCGTAAAAATTGAAAAGCTGATCCAGGATCAGCTTGAGACGACGCTTTGATCGTG